AATTATCTTTTTGTTAATGCTGTGGTGTGAGACGTTGGGCACAGATAGAAGTGGCAATTTTTGCCTGATCTGGCCACAGACAGCGGTCTATAGAAGTGACCAAAGACAAGTGCATGGCTGCAGACCAATTACAAAATGACCAATCAGGTGAAAATGAGGAAACCCGTTGAAAGATGGTTCAGATGAAGATGTTTCAAAGCAGAGCATCTTCTGTAACTTGTCTGCCCTGCCTCCCAGCCTGTTGCTGTTTTCAGAACGGAAAGGAGGAAAGGGAGTGGAGGGTGTTCAGTCTGGGGTCTTTTCATCCCCTCCTGGAGGGTGAGGTGGGAGTACTGGAGGTCCCTGTGGTGGGGGGCTTCCACAGCACTTCACAGCACAGACTAGGAGAGAGGAGGGGCCATTGCCTGGGAAAACTGGCTACAGGCTAGCAGCCAGCACTTAGATTCCCCTCTCCGCTGGAAACAACAATGAACTTCTGTTTGATCCAGGGGATCCTTGTACCTCAGAATGCTTCCTACAGATTGTTCTCAGTTACAGCAGGGAGCTGCACTTCTGTCTGTGCCCAAGTCCATACCTATGAGAACTTAATTAGCATAGGTATTAAGTGGTTTGGAAACTCTGGGAGGAGATCCTCAGCTGAACATGAACAAAATTTCAGGGAAGTGAATGCAAAAAGGAGGAAGAGGTAAGCAAACCATGGAATTTGGGTGGGAGTCTCTGGGAGGATCAAACACACCTAGATTTTTAGGAGGTGAGGGGATCCAGCCAGAGAAGCTAAAAATATCACCCCAGAAACGAGTGGCGCTGATAGCCATTTGAAGCAAAAAGACCATCTGGAGGCAGCTCCAACTTGGAAGAGAGCAGCAAAGGAGTTTTGTTGCATTTCTGTATACTTATTTCTAAACCTAACAACTCTTTTTTCAGTTTTATACAGTGAGACTATTCTGGTTTCTATAAGTTTGTCCTCTGATAAGAGTGATTTGGAGGCAGCTGGTAGAAGCAGTCTCTCCATTCCTATGTGAATAGCAGTCCTGTCTTTACAGCCTCAGGAAACCCCAAGAGTTTACAGGATTCTCATTCCATAAGCTGTAGGGTCTGCTCAGGGTGCTGGTGGGACCAAGATTTGCTGGGGGGAGATGAGCCTCTCATAAGAAAAACCCAGTGGAGCACCAAGGATACACAGCAAGATATTGAGGAAAGGGCTTGAATCTCTTCA